TCCGTTTCATTTTTAGGGCCAGGCAAAACCTTTCAAACTTTCCCAACAGGGAAAGGAAGAAGACAACTATACAAAATAAACTACAGTGCATGTGGATTGGGGAATGGGAAGATAAAAGGAGGTGGGGAGCTCTCCCAGGCCAAGGCAGGTGAACTGAAGGCTCTGGTTTCCTTGCCCAGTGTCAGTGGAATAGAGTCACAGGCAGGCAGTATGTGATGGAGTTCACAGCATGACTAGGCATAAGTAAGCAAAACTCTGTTTCTCCTATTTGTCTCTGCATTGCAAAAGGGGGTGCTAGAGAAGAAAGCATGTGCAGGACTACAGAAATCAAAAATTTCTAGGATCAGCCTTGGGCACTGGGACTGTCTCCATCTTCTGATATTCCAGTGTGTACCAAAACCTTGCTATATACAAAAAACCCCAGCAGTCACACAGGGCCTTGATTAATTTGTAAAATTGCTTGAAATATGTCACTAGCTTGAGTGATTATTTTAATTGAAAAATATATATTTACTTGAAGTAAACTCCTGTTTCTCAACTATGCTTATGTTACACAGATAGTTTGGTTTATATTTAAATAGAAAATGTTTAATATTCGGCCTGGGAATACTTATTTAGCACAAATAACTATTTCTTCGATATTAATTTCCACTTCAAGTATTTACATTTTCTTAGTTTCTCTCCCTTGCCCTCTTCCATTCCTTTCCCCATCAAAATTTACTTATATCTCCCAGGGAATATATGTGGTTTAGAGTAATGCAAAACAAATGATGGATTGAGTGTATTTGCAATGCCCTTTGAAAACTGTCCCAGTGTCCAAATACTGCTCAGTTTTATTCCTCTAAGTGTTCTGTGCTTACTGCTGCAACATGTCAACTACACAGCCAGGAAGTTGTACAAGATATACAAGATTCAAGCCAACAGGATAAAATCCAACTGATCTTTTAGCCAGCTTTTGAAATGAATAAAATTTTGTGACCCAGAACTCCAGAAATTAATATTATCTGAGTGGCCAAACACAGATGGTCCACATGAAGTTTTCCGTATAACTTCTAATTTGACACATGAAACATTTTCTATAATTTTAAAATATACTGTGATTCTGAGCCCTATGCTATTTAAGAAAGCACATATGGTTGTAAAGGAACAAAGACCTGTAAAGTGCTTGGTTAAGGAACATAGCTGGGTGTAAGCAGCTTTCTGAATCTATGTAGCCAGAGATGCCCAATTTTTGGCAAGCACTGTTCGTGCAACTCCATGAAATGGGATGCACCCTTTAATGGGGATGTGCTGGACACCTGCAAGGAGTTCTGAAAACTTTGGTTGCTCTGACACTCTGAAATTTAAAGTAATGGGAACCTTTCTTTTGATTTCAGCAGATATCTCCCACAAGAACACAAGAAAATGTTCATCTCAATATTAGCAGGAGTTTTTAGGTTATGAAATAGTCGAAGGTCAGAGCTTCATTTTCTCTTGGGCATGGTGCTGAATGAACAATAGCTGAATAACTTTATTTTGATTTGCAGTCACTGATTACGCTTCCCTCAAGATATTCTCACTATCACTTATTCTTCCAGTCTCTGCCCAATAAAGTGGCTGGAGTTTGGTAAACAGCTGGAGTGAAAGGGATGTGGGAGGTAAAAACACTGTAAAACTGAGGTAGGTGAGAGGTTCTTCTGGTGAAAATATGAAGGAAGGAAAGACACTGTGTTCCTGGAGCTCCAGGCATCACCCTCCCTATGAGATGATTGGGAAACAATGCATATTTTGGTTATTTGGTTGCTAACATTCAGAGCAGAGTTATATCCTAATTTTAAAAGTTTTACCAGCAGATGAAGCTTTCCTACCAAACTCTACAAAACAGAGTGCTCCTGACTGACATTCACTTCAGAGAGAATACCTGGGGCCAGTATGAAAGACTCCCCACTGTGTGTGGTGAATAGGGGCTCCCATTACCATTGTCATGTAAAACACTGAAACTTGTCTCCATGGGTGCAGGGGAATAACACTGCCTGGACAAGGTCACCAAATTACTCCTGCTCAGGATACTGCTCTCCTCTGTCTTATGGCTTTCCTGTACAGCAAGGTCAGATGGGAGCCATCAGGAGACAGCTGACACTGACCCAGAGCAAGCCTGGCCATTTCTTCTCCTCAGCTTTGCCAAAGTGACCATCTTTGCTGTGAAAAGCCAAGGTGGGTATTTCTTTCTTCACTTGATCAAAGCAGTCCAATTACATCCTTTTGGAGCTTTATGTATTAGCATCACATAACATCTCTTTTCATTTAACTACTCCAGCTATTCATTAGCTATCCAAATGGAACCTGGCAGTGCTCTCTGTATTCAAGTTTTTTTGGATCAGTAGTAATATTTGTTGTCGGTCCAGGAAACATCAGCTTTCATCTGAACTCTCCCTCGCACAGAGCTTTTCTTTTCAAATCAAAATTTTTGTTTGAATATTTAAACATTTATTTATTTAAGTAGCAAACCCTTGCATCCTCTACTCTTGTCAAATTTCACGAGACTGCATTTCTCTGGCTTTGCTTGTTGTCTTATGGCCCAGCAGATAATATACTAATGGCCTGTACAAAAACCCAGCAGGATGTATCCTAGCAAGAAAATGGACTATATCTGGATTTCTCAGTGGTCCTTCATTTGGAAATGTTACTCACAAAGATGTTATGGCTCCAATGGAACAGATACAGCTGCTTCTTTGCAGGTAATACATCCACAAGGAAAGATCTTCCATGTTCCCTTGTCTTGTATCAAAAGTTACTGGCGTTTCCTATAGGAACACTAAGCTCTGTGTTTATTAGTCCAATAAATGGCTGTCATTTAGTGCTCCAACCAATCCTGCTAGTAATTACAATCAGCAGGGTTCCCATGCTGTGCATCAGTGATGGTTCGTGAACTTGCTTCAGTAACTTCCCATGAGTCATCAGTCGAGTGGACGCAGCTGAAGTAGACAAGTCAAAGTACAATTACTTAGTTTTGTTGGGGGATTTTTAATCCCAGTTTCCTAAAGAGATTTCCACCATCGTGCTGTAAGTCAGACTCTACACCTGAATACATTGTTAAGTTTCATCCAAATTTGACAGACAGCTAGATCTGTCAGCAACAGCAAGATAAGCAGCTGAGGAGAGATTAAGTTCATGCTCCCCAAATCAGGAACAAAAGTTGTTCTGTAATCTCAAGTAAACCCCTAAATCCCACAAGCTACTCATAGGAAAAGTATTCCTGCTATAGATGTTCTGATTTGATTTTGTGTGTTACTACCCAGAGACTGGCCCAACCCTGAGCCAGGGAGCCAAAGGAAACAAGGCTTTGCAGCTTCTGTTGCTCACAGATTGGCTTCTTGTTAAACTCTTTCCTAACTTCACCGTTAGAGATGCGTGTCGGCTTTTGGGCTTTTGTTTTAAGTACACAAAGGTGGTTTTTCCATTAAGTGTTGTGTAACTGTGCAGGGAGGTGCATTTCCAGTACTTACTTTAGTAATAATTCCTGAGTGTGATCAGGAAACGGAACCTGAGGGCAGGGGGCACAGAAAGCTTTATTGCATTAGGGAGGGTGGCAGCCTGAGAACATCCCTGTGTGGGACCATGGCTTTGTATAAGATCAAACCCCAAATGTGCCAGATTCATGTGACATGGTGCAATGACTCCATGATCCCAGAACTCTGCCTGGGACATTGACATTTGGACCATAATGGTGAGTTTCTCACAGATCTCAGGCCTGTTGTGTGGCGGGGAACAGAGTGGGGCTGGTTTTCATCTCTGAGGGTTTCATCTCTCTCATGACCAACGGCACAGCCCATCATTGCTGAGAAAAGGTGCTGGAGCTGAATCCCCTTTCAGGTGTGAAGCTTCCCTCTCCTCCAAGTCTGCACAAGCATTTCCTGCTCAGTACAAAAAAGAGAAACCCAGGGCATGCATGGCTTCACTGCTAGCATTACCTACATGAGGTCAGTGATTCTGATGATAAATATTTCATAGGTCATTCATGTCTGGCAAAGGTGAGCAGCAATACATTAAACTTTTCAGATTCCTTCATCTATCTCGTTTTTTTTCAGCTGACTTGTTTGCTGGAGCGCTTCACTCTTCTGATCCTTCCCGATGAGGGAGGAAATCACTGGGTTTGACATTTTCTAAATGAGAAGAGCCAAGGCAGAGGAAACAACATCTGTTGAAGCAAATTAGGAGAGAAAGACACATGCAGAGCAATCCTCAAAAGTCTCCTGAGATGTCCAGCTCCCTTGGCATCCAGCATTAAAGAAATTCCTGTAAGTTTTCTATTCACATCTTTGCAAACCTAAATCCCTCTGAATGTCTGTTACTAAATCATCTGCCCATGGTTACAGAAGGAATTTGAAGTATCACAGGAAACTCATCCTGCTCCAGCAGCAAAACTGGTGTTCAGTTGCTGCCCTTTCCATCTCGTGTGCTACATTCTAGCGAGTTTGCCAGCTGGACACCTTTCAGCTGCCAAATTATCTGTGCAGGGAAGCTCTCAAACTGCTTTGCATCAGAAACAAGTACATATATATGTATATTAGTATATATGTGTGTGTGTATATATATATACACACATAGTGTGTGTATGCATATGTGTCTGTAAAAAATCTATTTACAGTACTAAGAAAATAAGAAATGAGAGAGAGCTTCCAAGATTGTAAATTCTCATGCAGAGGAGAATTATGCCTGTTGCTAGTGGCTCATGAAAACCTTTGAAGTGCAAGTGCTAGGTTGCACTACATTTCTACCAAAACTTAAGGATAGTAAAGGAACACTAGTAAATTCTGAGTAGCTCTTTTCTAACTTGTTTAATTTTGTCAGTAAATTCCCTCCCACCAGAAGCTCAGCTGGGACTGCTTACTTAAATTTATTTTGCTTAAAACAGGAACTGAGCTTTAAAACCATTATTAATAAACAGTTATTTTTGACTGTGAGGCATCCAATATAAGTCATAAATTATTGTCCATTTAATTAAAGACACTCACCTTTCCAGCTGTTGCTCTAATCAGATCAATCTAAAGCAAATAAATTCAGTGTTTTGCCAGTACTGTCAGAGGCTTTGGTGCAGGCACAAGAAGTGTCAGGGCTCCTTCCTTCATCACCTCAGGTGTTACTGGGTCTTGCTGGAGTTGATTTCCAGAGGCCCTGAGACATCCTTGAACTTCTTGGGACTTGAACTTCTGCCTCTTCACCAGCAGGTTATCCAAGGTGGGGACTGCTCAATACAGTGAGTCCACCTCGTCTTTATTTTTTTTCTTATTCTCCTTCCATCCAAAAGTGGACCTGTGAGCAATTAAAGTAACTTAGCCACAGCTATCCTGGAAGAGCAAGTGTGCCATTGATGTAGCCAGCAACTTGCTCAATGACCCTTCAAGCTAACCCATATACAAGATCATTTTCTGTGAAATAGAGTGGGATGTTTCAGGCAGCTGATTGGAGAGAGGAGCCTGTCTGTGACTATTATCCACAGCAAAAAAAAAATAAAAAAAATTTCCATCTTCAGTTCTTTCTACAGCTGACTGTCTGTGAACTTCATCAGTTCAGGAGTAACCAAACTAGTTTATGGAAAACATTTCTACTGAGAGCTATGATACATAAATAGAAAGATACCACCCTGACCCAAGAAATCACCCATGAAGTTTGTTAGAGAGGCTTCAGGAGAAATGAGATGGGAAACAGAAGATACAGGCAGCTGGAAATGTCTGGGTCAGTAAAATTCACCCCACTTTTAGAGTGGCTTGCAAAAGAGGGGACGGTGGGTTAACCTTTGTTTATAGAGATGTGTCAAAGGTGTTCATTCTTCTTCACTTCATCTCACCTTCAGTTGACTTCTGTTCCCAATCCTGGCATGCTCCAGTGGCATCTGATGAGATTCAGAGAGGGGTAAGGGAGAGCCTGTTATGTCTGCAGACAGGAGAAGCCAAAACAGGACAATAATTACAGGTAGCTACGTATTATTCTGAAACAATAAATAATTTGACTGGCCAACTGTCTCTGTCATCTGCTCTAACTTTGTTAGGCCCCAGAAAGTTGCCTTGATCCCTCAGTGTTTGTGTGTGAGGGCAGACAGAAAGAGGATTAAATGCTCTTTCTGCAATGTGTTTCCAAGCATCTGAGCCATCTCTGCTGCACTTCAGTGACTGTATCATCTGCCCAGTGACATCATCACTGGTTTGCCATTAGATATCACTTCTCAGAAAGGGAAATTTAATCTATTGGATTACTTGTTCTGCGTAATTTGGGGAAAAACTACAAACAGGGAAGTTTTGCAAGGCCAGAGTTTGTTTTCACTTATGACATCCTTCAAAACAAAGGCTGACCTTCTGCTCAGAGAACTCCTTGTAGGGCTAAGGTTCAAAATTGAAAGTTGCAGCCCAGCAGAAATGTGTAGTAGTAGTTGTGACTTGGAGTTTTATAGCAGGCTGGGGGCTGTGATAAATCTGAATTGTTATGAGAATATATGAGGGCTTGGGTGCTGGCTGTTTTGGATTAGTTTCTCACTTTATGAATTTTTAATGTTACTTACTATCACAGTTGAATGCTTTGTTGCTTATTCTTTATGAAAGAAAACCTTTTTAGGTTGGAGAGAGGTGGAAGAGAAGGATGAAGGCAGCCTGGGAGGGTGTCCTCAGCTCCTCCCCTGTAGAGGTCGATGTCCTCAGAGCCACTTGAGGCTGGACCACCAACTCTAAAGCCTGAGGGACCATGTTAGACCAGGGACATTCTCTGCAGAACAGCCCCTTCACGCACTGCAGCAAAACTGGAGCTGGTGCCACTTGACTGCATTGGGTTCTGTGTTTGTGGATTTAACCTCATTTTCTGCTACAGGCCTCCTGGTATGTAAGAAAGCAAATTCAAGCATGTCACTGTGTTCACTGAGGCAGCAAAACTTGGGTGGGGGGGGGAAATTCCCCTTCTTCTGCAGTTCATGGTGTTCTTCTAAACTATTTATAAATAGGTCTGCTGCAGCCAGTGTTTGCGTTTGGACGGCTTCACTGTTCTCGTTTTCAAGGCTTCTCTCAGATCTGAAAGTAAAGGTCGGGTTGACTCCCCTCATTTGAAATAAAGAGGGGAAGAAAGTTAACCCTGTAAGCAGGTGGCTCTAACACAGTAATTCCCAGGAAAATGAGTGTGCTCTCCTTTCCCTTTGGCTCCATTTTCATTTCCCTACCCTCTTCATTAGCTGATGATAGTTCTAACTTCCCACACCCTTTTAAAGAGATCCCCCTGCACATCATCTGGGATTCATGAAATGCAGAGATCTGGTAAGCAGCACAAATCACAGGCTTCTGGCCCGCACTTGCCAGAAGCCGTGGATAAGTTTTCAGCTGAGTTTATGCTTCACCTCCCTCCACTCTACAGAACAATAACATATGGCTCCATTTTCTCCAAAAAATTTGCACCAAAACCCAACAATCTATTTCATGAAGGATTATTTTTTGCTGATTGAGAGGCTTTTGGAGATGACAGGCATCTGATCTCATCTTAAGCCTTAAATTGCAGTAAATCCTGTATTTGTTTACTTTTTACTTCAACCAAATAGGATATTATCCTGCCTGTGAGTTAACACTTTCTGTGCTTGCCTCACTGAGTATTGCATGCCAAAGGCATTATTCTTTGCCATCACTGGACAAGGAACTGCACAGAGCCACCAATTCATGTATGACACAGCTAAAACACTAAGTAGGATTATGGGGCTCATAAGGCAGAGAAAATGAGAACCAGCCTGTTAATCAGCCCTTAAGTTGTATTACATATGTGAACCAACCCTTTTGCTTCTGCATGGGGCATTTGAAGGACAGGTAAAACACTGAAACAGCCTGAGATACTGGGGGGGTGGGGCACAGGATGCGGTATCTCCTCGTCTTCCAAATGTTGGCATCCAAAGGCTGGCAGTAAGAAAGGTCTCAGTGGATATTTGTTTGAGGTCACAACCTATATCTGAATGAAGAAAGCATGAATCTGAATAAAAATGTGGAAAAAATCACTTCTGAAATGGAAAACACTTGATTTTTCTTTTGGTTTGTTTGTTTGTTTCTTTTAAATAATCATGTGCACCTTACCCTCCTATATCACCAAGACCTGTCTAGCAGCCTTCTTCAAAATAGATTATCTTTTACTCAAATAGTACACTTATTTTGGGCTGAGTTACTAACAAATAGAGGTTTCTTGGTGTTCTGAATGTCAGGAATTTAACTGGTAGGTAAGTACATTATGAACCTAACCAAAGAAGACTTAGGAGACTGAATGTTGTTTTATTGCCTATGTAAGAGTTCGAGATGAAATGTTTGTATAAAACAAGGTGCATTATCCCAAGACAGTGGTTTTATTTCTGCTATTACTTAACACAGTGTTACAAAGACTCAAGAGGTTTCTATAAACTCTCTGCTCTGACTGAGCTACAAATTAAGGCCAAGATAAACTTCTCCCAGTACGTCCCAATCATTGGGAAAAGGCTCTCCTCTTCAAGGAGGTGTTCTGGGTGAATAGGTTAGAAGTGGTCTGAGCAATACAGAACTACTTCATATGTAGTTTTACTGATGTATGTCTTTTTTTACCCCACAGTAACATGTGCAGGTGTAATTTCTTCTAGCACAGAAGCACAAAATAATTAAGCACTGCTGTTCTTCTTGGATGTGTTCAGCTGCTGCTTGTTCTGAACTTCCCATGGGCTCTGAGGGGTGTTTTCTGTGCAGGCAGTGGCTGTTATCCTGGCAAGTAAGTGTTCATCCTCTGCTTAGAAATCTAATTTTCTTCGCTGTTGTGTGAAAAATTGCGTAGCATTCTTGTCACATAATTCCTTTTCTGGTTTTCCTGTGTTTTGCGCTCTCACAATTATCTTTGGCACAGCAATTATTATTGTACCAGCTGTAATGCTTGCAATAGGTGATCCTAATGAAACCTTGGTAGGTGTCTTGTGAAATTCCAGCACTGGTGAATATGGAGTTTTTATTATGGAGTTTGCCAATTTGTTTGGGTATGCATGTGAAGGCTTTGGTGTGATTTACCTCACATGCTCTAGCCAAGCAAATTGCCATAATTATTTACCTCTGGATCATGGTCTTTTATCTAGAAAAGTGCAGTTTATGGTTGGTGTTAGGGATGAGTTTCTTCATAGTGTGTTTTCTTAACTGCTTGGCACCTCAGTTAATGACACAGGTTCCAGTTTTATACATCACTGAAAAAAAAGTAAACTAATAAAACCCTGTTAATGAGAACTAGCTCTATATTTCAACAACTGTTTTAATTATTACTAAATAATTTATTTTAATATATTATCATTTCAAATATTTTTTAGCTATTTTTCAAGTATAGAGACTAGTCACAATTATATACATATATATATATTTTAATGGAGACCTTAATAGTTGAAATTGCTTTTGTATTTCTTCCATTTACATTGATAAAATGGCATACACTAAGCAATTCCCATACCCATTAACATATGATTTGCCCACTAGTAATTACTTTGTCATCCTTACTTCCTCAGGCTATTTTCAACTTTAAGCCATGGCTAATCCATGACCTTAGTGCTTTTGTCTCCAGGTCTGAATAATATAAGTATTATGGAACAAGGATTGAAATGAACTACTCTTGGCTTTATTGTACAATAATAGTCAGCTGATTGGCTTTTCTGTTCCCACTAACTAGAATAATAAAGCAAATTTAATTCCTTTATGGAAGGATCATATGAATTTCTTTTTGCCTTTTTTTTTTTTTCAGTGTGGCAAGGCTATACAGGAAATATTTCTAAGGGAAAGTGAAAATGGAGGAAAATACCAACTGTCTGCTTTGCTGAGTGTTCAGAAATGCTGCCAAGTGGACACAAAGATGACTGAAGCAGGAATGTACCCTGCACTCCACAGTGGCCACTGAAATGGTAATTGAATAAAATCCACTAAGAGAAAAAAGAGAAAGAAAACAACAAAAAGCACTTCGGTCATGGAGCTGAAATGGCAAAGTAGAAGCCTTATAAGGACCTTTTTGTAGTGAGTCTCCTCAAACTCCTTCTCCTTCCATGAGACTACCCAAGAAGCAGAACACCTGTAGAATGTCAGGTTTCCTTTTGGATGCAAGAGAGCAGCATCACATGGCATGGTCACATCTCCAACAGTCTGGGCAGTTTGCACTGCTCCTGTTCCAGGCAAGCTGTCTGATTCTCATTTGAAATGCTATCTCTAAGCTGCTTTTGTTCATTTGCTTACTTTCCTGAAAGGTTATAATCAAAAGGCCAGACTTTAGGAAGAATTTGGCTTGCATCCCTTACGTGATACTGGTTTCCAAGCGGCATGTAAATCAGGGGTCACACTTTCCAGAGGGAGTACTGCCCCACCATCAGTGCTGTGAGAAATCTGCTTTGCAGCTCCATGGCTGTATTTAGGGGGAAACATTGCTGACAGACTGAGTCAGTGGCCCAAATTCTCCTCCCTTTATCCATATAACCACATGAAAGCTTGTGCCTCCTATCCACAGAGTGTGCATGAATAATTTGCTTGGCATGGGACTGGAGCTAGCTAGCACAATAGCTATGCTTTTGTAGGCTCCATATGTCCCTTGCCTTGGAGCTTTTCAGATGATACAAAACTCTGGTACTGTGACTAAAATGAGAAAAGCCTGGGCAATGACTTCAGAAGAAATTGGGAGTGACCTAAAGCTCATGAAAGGACTCTTGGCTTCAATGGTGTTGACCCAAGTCCATCAAACTTACAAGTTGCATCCAGATCCTATGGAGATCCTGGAATGACCCCTGCAGTCTGCACAGAGATGGGTTTTTAAACCCCACAAGGGAGTCCCAATTTCCCAACGCTTCAGAAACACTGGACTCTTTAACTGTACTTTTAGAAGTATGCTCAAGAAATCAGTGCACACACTTTGCCTATCCCTCTCCTCCTCTTTGCACTGAA